CCCTTGATTATGGTCGAGTTGCTACCCCTATATTGTTCGAGCCTCTTGCCGAATTGTGTTGAAGTTGCACGACAAATTATGCACAATCCTTTACTTTTCGAGCTATTGAGAGAAAATTCAGAAAACCCCTAAAGAGATCGAAGTTGCGCGACTATCACAAAAGAACCTAAACTTTCACGAGCTCGGAATCTTTACCACTCGTACTAAATGTCTCAGGGGCGAAGCCAGGATTTTGACTCCTAGGGGGCCAAAAATAAAAAATTTATACGTATTTCTTACTTCAATAAAGCTAGTTTGACCCTGCTGTAGCTTTTGCAGAAGCAGTTTCTGGCTAGAGCTTTTAGATAAGTATTTTTCAAAAAAGTAGTTGAGTGTTTGGCTCTAAAACTATTAGAAGTGCTTTTTAATATGAGAGATTGTGTAAAATGACTATAAAAGACTTATAATATAAAATATGAATAAAAATTCTAAACAATAAAAAATACTAAAAATAGATTTTGTTAGATTTCTTTTAAATTAAATAATATGATTTTATAATTTATTTTATTTTTAAAATGATATAAATGAAGAAAAATTATATTTTCTAAAATAAAATTAAAATATGATAAGGATAATCTTGTATTTTCAAAAAAACTTTTCACAGAAGCTCCAAATCGGAGCTTCTGCTTTTAAGTTATACAAAAGCGCTTTTCGACTATTCAAAAGCCGAGATTTTAGAGGTGTTTGGCCCTGCTTAACCTTTTGAAACCGAAAAGCACTTATAAAATCCGGGCCAAACATAGGATAAAATTGCATAAGTAAATTGTTAAGTCATATTTAATATAAAATGTTTTAAATATCTTAATTGGATGAAGCTAGAAAGTTATTATTCATTCAGAACTAATTTTTATTCATTTATAGTTCAAAATGAACGATACATTAAAAATACTTAAACCAAAGGCCGACAAGAATAAGAAACTGATATTGGTGAAAATTTAATAGTGAAAATAAAGCACAAAATCAGGAAGGTACATTAAAAATATTAAAAAGAAAGGCCGAAAAGAATAAGGCAGTGAGGTAATTGAAAAATTAGTGTTGAAAATAAAACAAAAAATGAATGAAAATTGTTTATCGTTGAATGCAAGGAATGGAAAAGGAACCATGTTCATTTCAATTGAAAGCAAAGACGGCTCACCGCCAGACTACAATGAAATTTTGGTACCGCTTATCCCTACACAGTGGTATTTATTAATTTTTGGGAGATGGTGGTCTCCGCCCCTAAATGTCTCAATTTTTTTTTTCAAAAAATATATCGAAGTGTATATCAATTTGAATGAAACAATTGATCTAATTTATCTGTGAAATTTTTTTAAAATTATGACTTCAAATGAAAAAGATATAACCCGTTAAAATTTATAAGAAAAATGGTTATGGGTCTTTCATAAATAGTGATGTGGCAGGTCATCCATTGTTATCGACCACAAAGTTATACACGTGAACTAGGGGTGTACATGAGACAGGTGAGCCGGTTTTCACCCCTTATAACCACCCAACCCATTGATTTCGGGTTAAGGTTTGTTTCGTGCCAATTCACGCGCATAATTGCTTGAACATCGTCAATTGCATCCCTATTCCTTTCCTATTTGAACTCGATGTGATTTTAGAGTGCGTTAGACGATACATGCGAATTAGGTACAAAATAAGGTCACAAGTGTAGCAAGGGGGCTGAAGACTGAAGATCGTGGCCTAGAAGTGAAGATCACGACCTATAAGCCCAACATCGCGGCCGCGAATTGGAGGGCTCAGGGGCGCGAACTTCTTGGAGAAGGAGCCAAGGAGAAACAAATCTTCCTCGGTTGGATCACGGCCATTGTGTGAATTGATCGCGAGAAAAATCGCGGCTGTGACTCTTGGATCGCGACTGCAAAGTCAGCCCGCGATCTCCTTGTCCCCGAAGGCCGAAATGATAGCGCCGCAAGATCGCGACCTCGCCATTGAAGATCCCGCCAGAGATCTTGACCCTGTCTGGTCGTGAATTTCTCCGTCCTATGATGCCTATAAATAGAAGACCCCTTCCCCCTTATTTGATGAGCTAATTTTGAGATAGAATTTCTGATTTGAGAGAGAGAGAAGAGAGAGAATCTAAAGGAAGGAGTTAGAGCTATAAGAGAGGAGACATCTTCCTCAACCTCAAGACTTCTTCAATTTCTTCTATGTATGTTCTTCCCTCCTTTATGGAGTAGTCCTCTAAGGTACTAGGGGTTCTAAACCCCAAACTCTAGTTTTAGGGTTTACTATGTATGTATGGATATTTTAGGGTTTGAATGAATGAATGTGTTTATCTAGTTAATTTTATTGCTATTCTATCTTTGATTGTGTTTGGGTAAGTTGCCCTAATCTTCTCTACTAGCCTACTTTATGATTCTACACTGGGTTTGGAGTTTTAGAGTTAGATGAGTTTGCACCATCAAGCAAATCGATGTTATATGTATGAATAGGGACTTATGGTGGTAGAGGCGACCGAACCACTGCCATAGGTAGACTTCCTAGATAGAATCCGGGATGAAACCTCGGTGTGGACGGTGAGTAGTACCCATTGAAAGGAGCTACGAGCGTAATGGCCCAGATACTATAGCCTAGATCGAGGTGACTATATATGGATCTAGGGGAGGCGTGTGGATAACCACGAAAGTCCATTACATAGTAGCCCTAGGCTAGGGGTGATAGATAGTTCCCCAAAGTATCTGCTTTTATCTTTATTGGATCTCTAGACTAGTTAATTCACTCAAATCCTCCATACAAACCTTCAAGCCGATCAACCAAATAACAAAGAGGTGTGAAGTAGGCTAGGGTACCAGGACCCGAGTAGAATACGATCTTGATTTCCACTATACGACAATTCCATCTTAGGTTAAATTTGGCATAGGATGGGGTGGTTGTTGACACGTGCTAACCACTAACAATAATCTGCACGGATGAATGTGATCAAGCTTGTTGGTGCCATTGTCGGGGAACCTTGGAAACTAGTATAAAACCATTGAGTTGTTAGTTTAATCATTATTCCTTATTATTATTAGTAGTAGTAGTACATAATACGTTTTCCTTTTTGTGCTTTGTTTTTCACCCACTCTTCTCTCCGAAAGGTGGTTTGTGCGTTTTTTATTTTCGTTTTAGTGTTTTTGTTTGCGTAGTAGCTTTTGAATCATGGATCCTTATGACTTCACCAAAGTGTGGGGGTATTCATCAATACCCGAAGAAAGTTACCCTGAAGCTTCATGGAACAATCAAGATGGTGGAAGTTAAGGGTTCAGATTCTTTTACCAAACTCCCTTCCAAGAAGAAGAACCATGCCAATGGGGATATGAAGAGGCTTCCTCATTCCAAGAAGATTTCCTTCCACAAGAGGAGCCAAGAAGAGAATTGGAACTCTTGGTGGAACGGTTTGCCCGGGGATCTGATGGAGCACCCTCAAGTGTGGAACAATCTTTCTACACTCCACAATAGTCGATGAGCCAATTGGAGCTCACGGTGGAGCGGTTCATCCGGGATACTGAAGCATGCTCCAATGTGGAATCCTCAACCACCACCCCTATCGAATCATCCCTTCTACAGTCATCGGAGGAGATCCTCCGAAAAATGGAGAGACTAGGAGAGATTGTCAAGCAAGCATGTGCACAACTTTCTCACAATAATCTCCTACCATTTTAAGAGGAAAAGGAGGTAGAAGAGGCGAGAAGGAAGATTGAGGATGAGGAAGTGAGCGTCAAAGAAGAGGAAGCCCTTTTCCTAAGTGGAGGAAGAAATTGAAGAAGAAGGAAGGGAGGTTAAAGATGCAAATGAAGTCCAATATGAGGACAAGGTTGGGACGGATGAAGCTTCCACAAGTTATGCATGCCACCAAAGCTTTCCACCCAACCTTGATGCACTAATCGAAAAGGACCCATTTGCAACTTTTTGCCAAGTCAAGACCAAACCATCGGCAATCCCTCTTGGTGGATGCGATGGAAGTCAATAGAGTTTGGACTACATTGTGTGGGGCAAAGATAAGAGAGATGAAGAAAGGAAGGAGAGGTCTCGTGGGTGGAGCCTCGTGACAATTCAAGTTCACGAGCCCTCAATCATGGACTCGTCCAATGCTTGGGACTTGAGACACCACCTCACCAACGAGAACCTCAACTTCAAGGAGGTTCTAAGTTGACACGTGCTAACCACTGACAATAATCTGCACGGATGAATGTGATCACCAACCCAACCCACCCGATTATAACCCACCCATTACATGTTTGGGTGGATGTGGTGGGTGGGTGTGAGTTATCATTTTTGCCACCCAATAAATTTGGGTGAGTGGCAGGTGGTTGTGGGTGGGTAGCAGGTGGCCCATTGCCTGCAAAATCACATGATATATTAAAACACTATTTTTTTTATACCAAAACTTCAATCGTGTTTGATTCAATTAAATTACAATTATATTTTATAAATTTTACTTGATTTTCAACATCAAATCGATCATTTTAAAATATGATAACTATCAACAAAATATTTTGTCGCATATGATATAATTGGTGTTAGATTATCGAGTAAACTACGTTTAATAGCTATCAATTTTCTTGATTTGTAGTATTGATATTCAATTAGTTTAATACAAACTTTTATGGCTCGTAATTGTCTACTTATTTAAAAATAATTTGACCCACCAAAACCGCCAAATCCACCCACCATCCACTGTCACCCATCCAACCCACCCACAACGATACAAATGGGTGGGCATGGGTCATTTTTTCATCACCCACCGTAACAATGGGTGGGTGAATTTTGCCCAAAAATCCCAACCCAGCCCACCCATTGCGCAATGCCTATCTCTAAATATCAGTTATAGCCACTTTCGTGCAATTCTTTAACGGTGTGAGCTTACATGTCGGCTGGACTAACTAACTTTGCTGACTAGACTAACGTGATGTGAGACCTTTTATGCTTGACTTTGCTAAATTGAAAATGTCATATATTTTATAATTAACTAACGGATGGCAGTCCGTCGGCGGAGATATATAGAAAGAAACCCACGAATCGCAGCAACAGCCAGTGATGAGATTGACCGAAATCAAGGAGAACTCGAAATTCCACAACCAGCAAGATCCGGCAGCGGGATCAAGAGCATCGTCAACATCGCCAAACAGAGGCACGAATTGAAATTCGTCTACGTCTGGCACGCTATGACCGGATACTGGGGCGACATCTGGCCGAGAGTGAAGGAGTTGGAGGGGTACGAATCGGCGATGAAGTATCCTATGGTGTCGAAGGGAGTCGTGGAGAATGAGCTCGAAGAATGTGTACAAGTTGTACAACGAGCTTCACACGTAGCTATTTAATTTGGCGGCAGCAGGAATCGACGGTGTGAAGCTTGTTTACTCTGCCCGACGGGACGATCCCTCAGAGCTTTGCTGCCATGGGCACTTACGGGCTCCATTCGAGGCCGAGATGTTCATCTCATCAGAGAAGCATCAATTTTTCATTTTTTTTAGTTATTATCAAATATCAAGGTTCATCGGCAGGGTCGGGCAATGGATTTTGTTTTTCCGATTTTGCATTTTTTATTGCAATTATTATTGTGATAATGAGGTGGAATCTTTAAAATATTAAATTCAATTTTTAAATTGCCACGTCACTTATTTAACGGTCAACTCACAGAGTTGACTGTCACGTTAGATAAAGTTAATGGACAGTGACCAAACTTGAATTGTTATACCAATCTAAGTGACTACGAATGAAATAAATTAATTTTAGTGACAAACGTGAACTTTTTAATAACCAAACTTGCAATTTACCATTTTTTAATTAGTTACAAAATTCTCTTTCCTTCCATTGCTTTTCTGTGTCAATCGGGCGGGTTGGGGCTGGGTTCAATTGGGTTCCGGTTCAAGCGGGTTGTGGGATTATTGTAATTTCACTATGTATCTACTTCCATGGTCATTATCAATACTAAAGATGAAGCTTAGATCAGAATCAATACTCAATTATATCAAAGACTGGAGATTGCAAAACCCTAACCAGAATTCGAATAGGGAAGAGAGATCACTTGATTGATTCAATACAGATTTAGATGAGCAATCATAAATCAAACAAGAAGACAACGCGCTATGCCCAGACAAGCTTGAGTCCCTGGCCACAGCCCCAACTCAAGCTTTCCAGACACTAACAACGACCCAGTCCTAGACTCCCAAAGAGACAGAACACTCTTACTGAGAATAGGAAACCCGCGCCTTGCTTCTTCCCTGTGCCTTTCTTTAAATAGACTCGAAGGAGCCTTCCTGCCACCCTTCTTCAATGTATGTTTCCGTTGCAGGGGAATTGATGATGGAGAAGATCGAGGTTGGAGTTTCTTGTTTTAAGGTTTTTGATGCGGCTGATGACAGAAGTGAAGACGATGAAGCGCTTCTGTCTTTTGTCGAGTGCGAGGCTAGTCGAATGGGCTTAAGTGCTCGACTGGGCTTTTATGGATCCTGGAGCAAGACAGGGCCAAGGCCCAACAATCTCCCCCTGCGCTTGAGACTGCACTTCTGGAGTCAACTTTCCTACAGAAGTCACCCGGAGTCCTGCACTCAAAACAGTTACTAACTTAAAAGCATACTTGTATCTTAAGAAACTTCTTATCACACATCAATGAACACTGAACGATTTATTTTGACAATCCAAGAACATGAAGATAAACTTAGACCATTATGGTCTTGATAAACATAGCAATCAAATAGACCTTTATGGTCTTTAACACTCAAACGATGGTAATCTACTTAAACATTTATTCTCTAAGATCAGCTTTCTTAGATGCTGGTTACTCTGACTCCCCCTGAGACTTAGATCCGTGCTTCATCATTTGCAGGCTGAGTGACCACAATCTCCCCCTGCGTTCCAGCAGCCTCGTCCAATTCTCTTTCGACTTGAATATCAGTATCATCTTCCATTAGTTCTTTCTCTAGGTCTTCAGCAAACAATTTTATTTCTTTCTCTGATATGGATTCTGGTTCAAGTTCAGCCTCGTCATCTTCAAAGGAGATGAGGAGATTTTTGCAAACAGATGAGGTTTCACCAAGATCCCTAATTTTGGAGAGTGACTTGGGTTTGAGCTTCTTTAATGCGGGTCCTGAAGTATCTCCCCCTTTCGAAGGCTGAGGCTCAATACGAAGGAATTGAAGAACAGTATGAGCATGAATTGAGACAGAGGTATCAATGGTAGAGTAGCCATCCAGGGAGATCCCTAGGTTAGATAGGAGGAGCGTGATAAAGCCACCATAGGGGAGACGTCCACTAAGATGGGCATCAGCACTTCGAACTAAGGAACCAAACAGCAGCTGTGAGTAGTCAATCTTCCTACCAGTGAGGGCATTAGAGAGAACCCATAGATCGATCTTGGTGACAATGTTCTGGCCATGATTGCGGGGTAGGAACACATGAGTGATGAGGTAGTGAAGGGTGCGGAGAGATGGATTCAGGTCAGCAGAGGTAATGACCTCATTAGCAGCAACAGGGCGCTGAGTGATACGTGAATATTCAACCACATGATCAAAATCATAGAACAGAAACTCATCCTCATGAGCCAGAGGAAGAGGTCCCCCTGTTGGAAGATTCAGCAGAAGGCCAATAGCCTCTGAGGTGAGAGAGATGAAATAGCCATTTACGAGGGTTGAGAGTTTGCGAGTTGTGATACCTTGACAGTCAAGGTTGGCATAAAATGATCGAACAGGCAAAGGACAGGCAGCAAGAGGGGGGTAGTGAAGCAAGAACTCCCACCCAAGGTTTCGAATGAAGGGGGTTATATCAATGCCCAGGGATTTGAATTCAAAAGAGTCAAGATAGATGGGATCAGCAAGAGGCCGAGAGGCAAAGAACTCTTTGAATCGATGGAGATTAAAATCAATGGACTCATTGAAGGTCCTTCCCACATAGGTGACAATCGCACCAGGAATATTGGAGGAGGTGAACAGGTCAGTCATGATTAGATTTTCTGATGATCGAGAGTTTGCAGAGAAAAGAACTAGGGAGAGGTCACTATTTATAGGTAATGTAGAGTATGACAACGAGGGCATTCAAAGAGCATGGAAAAACCAAACATCCATTTTAAGCATTTAATCATAGACGAACAGTGAGAACGCAGGGCAAATGCAATTAATAAGTAAGACTCGTAATAAAGGAAGGAAGGAACCTGATTTAGATGTGGTCTTGGATTGAGCGCAGAGATTGCATCCCCAGTTCCCCACAGAGTTTGATAAAGCGTTCAGAAGGAAGTGGTTTTGTAAAAATATCAGCAACTTGGAAATCAGTGGATATGAAGTTAAGTTCAATGTGTCCAGCCTGTATGACTTCTCTAATAAAATGATGTCTAACTTCTATGTGTTTAGTTCGACTGTGATGGACAGGATTTTTTGACATGCAGATTGCACTGGTGTTGTCACACAGTATAGGGATGTTTTCAAAGCTAAGACCATAGTCTTGAAGTTGAGATTTTAGCCATAACATTTGAGTACAACAGCTACCAGCAGCAACATATTCAGCTTCTGCTGTAGACAGTGCAACTGACCCTTGTTTTTTGCTTGACCAGGACACTAGAGACTGACCAAAGAACTGACAAGTACCACTGGTACTTTTTCTGTCAGTGATGCTACCAGCAAAATCAGAGTCTGAGTACCCAACTAGAGAGGGAGACTCAGACCTGGGGTACCATAACCCAAGGTCACAAGTACCTTTCAAATATCGAAATATTCTTTTGACAGCAGTTAAGTGGCTTTCTTTGGGATGGTGTTGAAATCTAGCACATAGGCAGACACAAAACTGTATGTCAGGCCTACTTGCAGTCAAGTAGAGCAGTGATCCAATCATTGCTCTAAATTTCTTTTCACACACAGGAGTTCCTGCCTCATCATAATCTAAATGTGTATTAGATGCAAGAGGAGTTTTAATGGGATTGACCTTGGTTAACTCAAATTTGGACAGCATAGACTGAAGATATTTAGACTGATGAATAAATATCCCTAGATCAGTTTGAAGTATTTGCAGCCCTAGAAAGTTGTTTAGCTCACCCATAAGGCTCATTTCAAACTTATTTTTCATGATGGAGCAGAATTCTTTACACATATCAGGACTAGTGCTTCCAAAGACAATATCATCCACGTATACCTGAACTAGCAGTGAATGAGTATTTTTGTGTTTAATGAATAAGGTTTTATCCACTCCTCCTTGACAGAAACCTTGTGATATTAGGAATGAAGTTAATTTATCATACCAAGCCCTAGGTGCCTGCTTAAGGCCATACAAAGCTTTAGACAGTTTATACACATGATCAGGAAATTCACTATCAATGAAACCAGGGGGTTGTTCAACATAGACATCCTCTTTGATTTCACCATTTAGAAAAGCACTTTTCACATCCATTTGATATAATTTAATGTTCATGTGGCTTGCATAAGCACAGAGAAGTCTAATTGATTCAAGCCTGGCAACAGGTGCAAAAGTTTCATCATAATCTATTCCCTCTTCTTGATTATACCCTTGAGCAACCAATCTTGCTTTATTTTTGATTATGTATCCAAGGTCATCTGATTTGTTTCTAAAGACCCACTTAGTTCCAATTATGGTGATGTTAAGGGGCCTAGGTACTAATTCCCACACTTTCAGTCTAATAAAATGAGAGAGCTCTTCTTGCATAGCAAGAAGCCATTCTTCATCCATGACAGCTTCCTTAAAGTTTTTAGGTTCAAGTAGAGAGACGAAGGCATACTGACCTGGGATGTGTTTTCCTCTGGTTTTAATAGGATCAGATAATTTACCAATGATTAGGGATGGAGGATGTCTGTTTCTGATGTGGGGTGGGGCTTCCACACTGTCCTGGTGAGCTTGTGAATCTTCTTCTGAAGGCACTGAGTTGTTAAGCTCGGTTTGCTCATTGTCTGTTTTATCACCTGTCTCAACAGAATTACTAAGGGGCAAAAAGTCATAGTTGTCAACATTAGGGTGTAAGGCCAGTGGTGGAAGAGAGGATTCAAATCTAACATGCACAGATTCCTCAACTTTCCTAGACCTTCTATTGAAAATTCTATATGCTTGGCCTTTGCTAGAGTATCCAAGAAATATCCCTATATCAGACTTAGCATCGAATTTACCAACAGCTTCCTTAGTATTCAAAACAAAGCATTTGGAGCCAAAAGGATGGAAGTAAGACAGTTTGGGAGGTTTTCCTTTTAGGATCTCATAAGGGGTTTTATTTATTTCTTTTCTGATGGTTGTTCTATTTAGCACATAGCAAGCAGTGTTTACTGCCTCTCCCCAGAGAAACTTGGGGCAATTGAATTCCAACAACATTGTTCGAGCAGTTTCAATA